AAGGCAAAAATTAAAATATCTACAGAATTGCTGGTCAGACCTCTTAATGTTCATCATTCAGATAACAGTTTTGTAAATTTTCTTCTGAATTGCAATACAGAAAGTCAAGTTTCTATTACTTTTCATACTAATTCCTACCTACTTCCACTGACAGTGCTTTAATATTACCTCCTAGCTAAATTTCTAAATTTCCTAACTAAATAGCTACATTAAATTCTCTCATTTTAATTTTATTAGAAACTCCAAGCACAAAGCACTTGAGGCATTCATTACTTAAAATTACACCACAATAAAACCCAAAGACTTTAGCTACATACTTGATTATGAACTTCCACGTATTGGCATGAAGAGCGTGGTCCATATTAGAAATGATAGAGCAGATCTCCAGCACAGTGTGGATTACTAAGGAAATAAGAGCAGCAGAAACACAGTAAAATCAGATTTATGTGTTCACAGCAATCCCAAGAGAATACTGAGAGAATACCAGCAGACTGACGTGAACTGGGAAAATGGCTCAGTGTTTAAGTGTTGCCCCTTTCCTACAAATCTACACAACACTCCCACAGAGGAAGCTTCAGGGGGAAAACAGAAATATTTCCAGTTCAAAACGCTGCTTTCTGAAAAGCTGGTCAGGACAGCAGGAACTAAACACACTAAGAAACCTGTTTAAAAATTTCAAACATACTCTCCATAGGAAAAAAAGAGTGAGCAAGACTAAAAAAGTATCAAATCCACATATACCTGACACCATGTATGTGATGTCATCCTCAGCAGAAGCAGAGCTTATGGAAATCAGATCAAACAGTTCCATCAGCTGTTTCTGAAGGGAGTAAGTTTCTTTGAACATGGCTTGTAGGAGGTCAGAAATTAGGTGTAGGTGCCCACAGTACACAGATTCACTATCCTGAAATGGGGAGGAAGAGGTTTGTAACAGAGCTCAGGACTCACAGCCTGGTTTTTCACATGCAGAAAACACCAGGAGCTTTGCCATACATTTCTCGGGAAAAAAGAACAAGGCACAGATGTACCTGCTTTAACTCAATACACAGCCCCTGAGCACTCAATATAAAATATGTTCACCTGCAGCTGGTGAGAAACTAACGAGGTCTGGCTGCCTCTTGTGAGTTTAGGGGGCTCTGGATCAGCCCTCTTTGTATGAACCCAAGATCCTACTTCTGAACCAAAGAAGACAATGCCAGCAGCAAAGAAAGTTACATTCCAAAGATTTCCCAGTACTTCCATATTAGAATTACTAGATAAAGATATGGCAGTTTGAGTCCTGACGTGGAAAATTGATGTAAATATTCCCATAAGAAAGAAATATTAAAAGTGAAAATGAAAGGCAACCAAAAGTTAGTGTGTCCTTATGATAATCTTGTTTTATTTTCAATGCTTAGAGGGAATTACTGTTGCACCTGAAAATCCACATCAGTCCATATGTGAAACTGATCCACACTGCTCACTGTAACCAACATAAACCTGCTATTCTCAACTTTCAGTCCACTCTGGAACTTGCCATTTGTAGTTCTGAAAACACTGCAGCCATCAGGACTGCACAGATCTCTCAGAGCACTTTGCTCATGAGCAGAATGTTCAGGTAACACTGATGGAAAGCATGGAAATAGCCCAGTCTGAGCCTCTCACCAGCAGGTCACATTTGCTGGGCAGACAGCTGAAAAATCATCTTTGTACTTGTGCACAGAGCACATTCTGAAAACGACAACTAAAATTAGAAGAATGATACTTGGATGACAGTATCATTTCAAAAAATAAATCTTCTAAAGTGTTTGCTGAAAGCCAAGGAGCACAAGGAATTTTGTGCTCCCAGCAGTGCCCTACCTTGCAGTGTGTGAAGGTGCTCTTGAGCACGCAGAGGACGGAGGAAGGGAGGGAGTGGACGCTGTGCAGGGACAGCTCCTGCAGCGAGCACACGTAGCGCACACAGCCCGTCAGCGTCCCCAGCAGCTGCACCACGGCCTGCCAGGAGTGAACAACGTCAGGCACCCCTGCAACACCTCCAAAAGCATCTCTTCTTTGCTGAAATGCACCTGGATTTTTATGGCATTTAAAGTTCACTGCTATTTGCACAAATAAGTAGTTTGTTAAAGATGAAAGAAGCTCCAGAGCTTTCCTCCAAGACCATTATCCTCTGGGAAAGCTCCTTATTTCTTAGACTATTGTTCCCAGTTTACAAAAATGTTAAAACTCAGAATGAAGTGACTGGATAAACAGGTGCCAGGTTCACCCTTTAAATATAGGGAGTCACATTCCATCTGCAGGAGGGACTTAAGCAGAATTTGAGATGATTTTTACATAATTATTAGTATCACATGCTAGATGTAATCACATAATTCACAAAATTTTAACTGAACTTTGACTACAAAGGAAGGTAAAATTACATTTTAACCATCAGTAGCTGGCAAAAACATTCTACAACCCTTTTAGTAGTGATGTAAACATTATTCTGACAGTTCATGTGATGGGACTTGCCTGCAGCAGATTCCTTACAGTACTGCACAACTCTGTACTCTGGCTGGTCAGTCCTTTGGCCTTGCTGGATAATTCACTCATCAAGTTATCAAAGAACTGTAGAGTCTGGCAGAACACAACAAAACTGAAATGTTTCACTTACAAAGGTACACATGCAAATAATAACACCATTCTGTACCTGCTTGCTTCCTTGGCATGGAGGCACACAGAGAACTCACAGCAGAACACACTTTCCAGTATTTCAGTCATAAAGCATGATATAACAAGAAGCAAAAACCATTTTTATATATATTATAGACAGAAGGTATTTTAGCTGTTATTTCTTCTAAAAATCTGTTGCCAAAACAAGCTTCACAGCTAATTTCCTTGAAATAAATATACCTCATCCTACCAAAGATTTTTTACTTAGTTAAAATAACATAATTTTAAAAAGATTTTCATTCTGTCTCAGAAAAAATATTTGCTGAGAATTATTATTAACATTTTGAATATATTAAAAAAGTAAGTCTGTATATTTGATTCTCTCCCCACTGTAAAGAATGAGAACAATCACAGAAATAATTCAACATAACACTGTGAAAACTCTTAAAGGGTAAAATTTCTATTTCAATTTTTGTATCTCACAGATTTTGTGCAATCCCAGAAGAAGAATCACTGCAATCTAAGCAGGTTCTAACACTGGACTGACTGAAAATTCCACAGTTAACTGAAGCTGTCTTACCTTAGGTAATACTTTTGAGAAAAAAGTTTCTTCCAAATCTTCAAGGCTGATATGTGGCAAAAACATTTCAGTCAGAATCCTCAAAACACCTGCAAAGAAAAACATTTACAATGTGTAATTCTCAGAAATATACAGCAACCTACCACAGAAAACAAAGAACTGCAGAAAGCAAAAACAGATCACGTATTTGATTTTGAGGGAGGCAACAGAGCATTTGCCTTATCTGAAATGCATGAAAACACACACACATTACCTGAAAAATCAAAGAACTGTAACAGCTCCAACATGTACAAACCACCAAAAACAGCAGCACACCTGACTGAACTTAGTTGAAGGCTGAGCACAGCTGCCAGCCTACAGATACAGTATTTGCCACATTCCAAACTGCAAATAGTTTCACGTTTCATAATGCAACATAATATGCAATGTAACAGTGAGCTTTAGCAACATTCATAAACAGCTACATATGAGCCTCATTTTAACTATCAGTTTTGACACCTGCAAGTTAACAGCCCAATAGACAATAAAACACCAGATAAAAAACACCATTCTTTCATGTATTTAAAGAGCAGAAGTAGCAGAAAGGAAAAAGCAGCAGAGTTTTTATAGGGGCATTTATAAAGCTTATTCAACGTGCAGTTAGTGGAATGTGCAAGACCCAGCAGAATTGCTGAAGACTGAAAAGTTGTAGCCGAAGTATTTAAAACACTGCAGTGATTCTAACGCAATTGCAATACAGGGCTCCACAGGAAGAGGGACTTCTTAGCCATTACTTACGAATATGCTCAGTCCAGTCTTCAGTCTCTTGATACATTGAGTAAAAATCGTTAAAAAAAATCAAATTTATTGTGCTCTAAAGGCTATCTTTAAAGCACCTGCAGAAAGCCACATCACTCCTAGCGCTGTCTCACGTACGTATGAAATTGGTGGGGATGCTCCACAAGCAACGCAGGCTGATAGCCCGGAGTACCCACAGGATCAACAAAGTATTTCCAAAATGTATTAGAGACGAAGTCTTGAGGGGCTTTTTTGTTTGGTTGGGTTTGTTTTTTGGTGGTTTTTTCTTTTTTTTTTTTTTTGGTGGTGTGTGGTTTAGGGTTTTCTAGGGGGCTGGGTTTCCTTTGTTTTGGGGGAGGGGGATAGGTGAGAGGTGTGTCGGGGAGTTATGTACGGCGCTAAATGAACCACACGCGATTTTCTACGTTCTATGAATCCTTTACGCCAGGGAAAGGCTGTACCCGTCTCCAGCGAGATCCCCGGCACCCGGCCCCTCACAGAGCTGCCATCGCTCTCCCTCACACACACTCGGCTGAAGCGTGGAACTCCGAAGGATGCACGCACCGCCCCCACACCACTCCTGCGCCTTCCCCGCAGCCACCCCAGAGCCCTGCCGGGAAGGATATCAGGAGCCGGGGCAGCACGGCGGGCAGCTCCCGGCGGCAGAGCTCCCAGTCCCAGCCGCCCAGCTCCCGCAGGAGCAGCTCGGGGTCCGCCTGGGACATGGCGGCGGGCGCGCTCCCCTCAGCGCGGCGCGGCGGCGGGAAAGGCGCCCCCGCGCTCCCACAATGCCCCGCGCCCGAGGAAGCGGAAGCGGCTCCACGTGGGAGAAGCGGAGCACGGCCCGCACCGGCAGCCGCGGGTGGGCGCGGGGAAAACGGGATGGGAAACGCTCCCGGAGCCCCTCACCCGGCCTTAGATTAGTGACCCTTGAAAGGCTGAGTCTGAAGCGCGATTTTTTGCCATGCCTGTACCTATGGTATGTGAGATGGGGGCACCCGTGACGCTATTAACAAACTTAACTGATTAGAGAGCGGGTTATTTTAAATTACTGAGCAGTTAGGGTTGGAGGAGAGAATCATCTGGAGATGATTCGGTCAGCCCAGAGCTGGTGACACAGCGACGCGTCCAGGTGGATTTGGAATGCTTCCAGAGAGGGAGACTCCACGACTTCCCGGGGGAAGCCGAGTAATTAAAATCAGGACGCTACGATTAGACGGTTTGTGCTTATATTAACGTTACCTAAAACTATTTACTCTTATTTCCAGCAGCAAGGCACCTGGCTCTTGGCAAGACATCTGATACTGCACCAGCAAAAGACTGTCCTGCAACACTACCTACATAAAAGCTGGCTGTAGTAAATTAAGCTTTTAAAAAGCTGTTATTCCTGAAAATGGATTTTCAGTTTAATTTTGCCGTTGATGAAAATGAGAACAGCGAGGCAGATGCTCACTTCTTACTGCTGTGCTCTCCAAAAGACAAGCAGGAACCCAGAGAAAAGAGCAGGGAAGCTGCCAATCCTGCAGCAGACTCCAGCCCGAGGCTGGATGCTGCTAAACACCGGGATGAGGCAGCTTCGAAGAAAAATCTCTGTGTGAAAGCTGCCAAGGAACACAGCATTCCCGAAGATCTCAACAAAGTATTGGAAAATAAAGTCATGGAAACAGTATTGGACCTGCTTCACGTAAAGCTGTCTGTAGTGGAAATGACATGTTCGGGTGATGCTGACAGTGAAGGCATCATATCCAAAAGTGTTTCTTCTCACTCTGATCTCATCCCAGGAGTCTATGAAGGAGGGCTGAAAATCTGGGAATGCACCTTTGATCTCATGGACTACTTTTCCGAGGCTGAAATAGAGTTTACCAACAAGACTGTACTGGATCTTGGCTGCGGGGCTGGATTGCTGGGAATTGCTGCTTTGCGGGGTGAAGCTGCCAGAGTCCATTTTCAGGACTACAACAGCACAGTGATTGATGAAATAACCTTGCCTAATGTGGTGGCCAACTGTACCAGGGAAGGCAGGAGGATGAGCAGTGGGAAGGACAGAAAAGCCAGCAAGCCTCCTTCAAAGAGGCCCAGGAAAGCAGAGGGCTCACCTGATGTGCTCAACAAATGCAGATTTTTTTCTGGAGAGTGGTCTCAAGTCAGCCAGCTCCTGTTAAACAGCAACAAACCCTGTTCAAAGTATGATATAATTCTAACCTCTGAGACCATCTATAATCCTGACTACTACAGTGCTCTGCATGACACACTGGCCCAGCTCTTGGATAGAAATGGCCGTGTGTATTTGGCAAGCAAAGTGCATTATTTTGGAGTTGGTGGTGGTGTCTATCTCTTCGAGAAATTCATTGAAGAGAGAAACATGTTTAAAACCAGGATGGTTAAAACAATTGATCAGGGTCTGCAGCGATGCATTATGGAAATTGTCTTTAAAAATTAAACTACTAATTCTACAAAAACTCAAAAAAATGTTTTAATCCTCATGTCTCTGTGCTTTTTCCTGTTATTACGGTTTGACAAATTATGGATGGCAGTTGTTGAAATGTTTGACAAATTCTGGTGTCTGACTAGAAGCGATGGACTTTTCTGATGTGCACTTTGCATAGAGTTCTGCTTAAAGCAGCATCTGTTTATGAGAATTTATATGTAAAGATGAAGAAAGTCATTGTCTCCAGCCAGGCTTTCACATTCTCTGTCAGCACCAGAACTGTGCATCACAGGAATGACACACATGACATGGGAATGACATACATGATGTATTGTGGCTGAATGGGATAAATTTAGCATCCAAAATTAGTGCAAGAGGCTTTTCTCAAGGGTTGGGCAGCCTAACTGCAGCCAAATTCAGGCAGGGACCACACACTTCTGAGCTCTGCTGCTTTGCCAGCAGAGGGGGATGTGATTGTATTTATCACTCGTGTTCTACCCTGCTGGGGATCTCAGAAATCCATGTAATATTTCCTTGTATAATGCACACGTGACTTATTCAAGCCTTTTAAAGAATGTAATAACATTAACTACTGTTTCTAAATTTTCACATTCAGATTCTGACATAGGCTAAGAAAATTTCAGCAGGGAATTCAATAAAGCCATGCTGGTTTAGAAGCTGACTTGAACAAATATTCTATATACAAGATACACTCCTTCTACCAACCAATAAGCCTACAAATTAAATACTAGAGAATGATAGAACTGAGCTTTAGGAGACAACTGGAAAAGGAGATAAACTGTGCTATTACAGGACTTTAATAGATTGTTCTACTATTTTAACAAGACTTTCCCAGAAATGAATTGTCCCTTTTTTAAAACTTGCTGGGGGTACTACAGAACATCCACACCTCTTCAATCTTTTCACAGGACAGAAAGCATTCAGAAAGGCCTGCAACACAAAGCACTTTCTTAGGCTGAAGACTGAAAAAATTGCCTTACCAAAAATGCAAACAAACCCCCAAAGAACTACAAAACCTGGATTTGAGCACTCACTGTCACTGGCAATTCAAACAAAAAAAGGAAATCTATTGCATGTTTTGCCTTGGCCAAAACTAGACAGAAAGCTGTTAGACAGCTGTTGTCATCATGCACTGCTTTATCAGGTGCCCTTACAGAAATATAAACTTAGACCCAGTGACCACTGCAGTAAACTGGATGCAAGGATATTCAGTGTAGAGCAGAAGGAACAATAAATAGTCTGAGGGGATGGAAAGAAACTTAGTACAGCAGTGATCTGAAAGTTTCCATCACTGAGGATGCTGAAAGTCAATCCCAAAGTTCCTGTTTTGAACCTGCTGCTATTAAGACAGAGTTGTAAAGGATTTCCTGTACTTGACAGAAGTGCCTTCACTACTGTTCAGACTATTTTAAAGTGATTGGAAACTACTGAATTTAGCTTCTCATAGGATAGGGGAGAGAGAGGAAAAAAGTCAGTTTTGCCATGACTGCCACAGTGCTCTGGAAATTTTCTGCACTGATTCTGAAACTTAATGATGATAACTGCTGACTACAGACTGAGGGGAAAAAAAGTTTTAGCTTTGGCAAATCAAGAAGGTACTGTTAACAGCTCTTCTTTTTCTGTCAAAACAGAGAAGCTGGAAACAAATGGATTACCACTTGTCATTTTTCAAACTCAATCCTAAGATAAATCATGGCTTGCACTGAATAGTTTGTTCTATACCTGCTAGTCTGGTGCAGTTCCAGAGGACCATACCTAAAGTAATAAGATATGTTGACCACTATGACAAAGAATATGGTTAGGAACAAGAATCTCATGTAATTTTGGATGAATAAATGAAGAAGATACTTAAAATATTCTACTATAATATCTCCTCTTGATAATATTCCACTATCAAACTCACTCACTCATCTTTGGTTTAATTACTGTGCCTTCACTCAGTATTTGGCTCAAACATTGCTGGCTTTGTGCAAATAGAGAATCAGAATTTTTAGGACTTCAAGGGAAGAATGGCAGAGCCACAATCTTAGAGTGATTGCACACCTGCAGAACAAGTAACTCCACACAGTATAATTAGCTTCCCATTTCAGAATCTGATTAGAAAATGAAGGATGCTTTTTCTCAGGTGAAATGAGCACAATTAACATTGGGATTTCCATATTCTAAATGAGTTCTGTTCTTATAATTCAGCAGATACGTGCTGAGAGGAAACAGAATTCCACACTTAGTTTTGTAGGCTGCTGATGTTTCAACTTGAATTAATACTAATTTCCCTCATTTACATTAAGGCTTGCTCTACCTGAGAAATCCTCACCACCCTAGTGACCAGTGTCCTGCTTCTGTTCACAAACTGGAAAAGAAGAAAAGAAACGTTTCACTCCTTTGTAACACTTGTACATATTGCTTAATGACCAGGGAAATGAAATTTCCCCTAACGACACTGCACTAAAATAAATAACTGAGCTGGCAGGTCCCTCAAAGTATTTTTTTTTATGACACATTAAAATCTTTCTTCTCTGAAGAAATAAAAGGTAGAGATCAGCTGGTAATTCAATTTTGATCAGCTCACTTCAATTCACAATTTTTCTCCCCTCATGCAGTCACCCCATACTTTGAACACGTCATTACAATAATAAGTCCTGTCTAAATTATGTCTTTCCTGTAAGTATTGTGGAGACAAAGATTAAAATCACTCATTAAATACCTCAGGAAACTAAATTGAAAGGCTTGTTTGTTTTAACACAGCTATCCCTAGCTGATGACTTCCATTTGAAGACTATTTGCCAGTTTTGGGAAATGAGGCTATTTAAAACTCAGGCTTGTATACTGGCAACTACAGTTATTTTACTAAAGCTTAGGGGAAAAAAAATCCCACGATGATGGAACTGGGAAGTGCCCAGTTTGCAGATTACTGACATGGGAGTTATTCTTGGTTATCAGGCACACAGGCATTATATAATTCTCTGAAATCAGAATCTTGTTAAGTAGAATCAATCCTGTAATCATTACCACGGTATTTGAAGTGCAGCCAGACAATCATTGCACAAGAACTCAAAGAGAAGCACAAAGAGCAGATGCAAAAGCAGGCAAGGGTGCTGGAGGGGAAAATCCAGGCTGCAAAAAGTGGGGGGAATCTGGTGCCAAGCAAGAGATCTGTAGCACCAGGTTCAGGAGATTATTGGGATGGAGACCCCTGGAACTCTTCTGATGAGGACTGGACTGAAAGGTTTGAGGATAAGAATTCCTCTCCACCCAACCTAAACAAAGCCACAGAAAGGGGACTTAAGATGGATCACAACTGTAAGAAGGGAATAACAGCAGGATTTTTGGTGATAGAAACTGGCCTGAAGTCTCTCAGATTTCCTGGTTTGTACTGTAAGAGTCACTTGCATGCTGAAAAGAAAAAGCTTCCCTATATCACCAGATACTGCTGAATAAGTGCAGTAGGAACCACAGCAAAGGGAAGAGCTGGAATTTATATACAAATACCTCTAGAAGTCAGCAAGCCTTCAAGACAGAAAGTCAATAAATCCACAGATGAATTAAATTAAAACTATCATGAAACAAAAAAGTAAAAAATTGTAGTAATTTCACAACAAACAAAAGGCAACATCCTGCCACAACAAGGGGGTGATGTTAGCTAATTCCTGCCTAGATATACTCAGCAGGTAATTTACTATAATTATTGCTAGGAAAAAACCCAAAAAAACATTATTAAATTCACACAAATCAAAGCAGTCCAGGGGAATCAGAATAAAAGAAGCATTGGCAGAATTTTACATTGCCATCACTCTGTGATGGGGAAGGTTCTTACAGCAAAGTCAAAAATTTTGGTCATTACTTCTGCAGAATACTAGATTTTCAAATCACTGAGTAAATCAAAGATTTGGATCATTGGTGAAGAACTGTAACAGTCAACCCCACCCTCCACACCAGTTTTTTTAAAATGTGGTTAAGAAAGATGAAAAGCCTAAAAAGTAATAGAAAAATAAATTGAAAACACAGTGGTCAAAAGACCAGTGAACAGGTTCAGTCCAGTGGTGTTTGAAGTTGGTAAATCCTTAGGAATCCTACAATAGATCAGTGAAATAGGACTGAATGAAAACAATTAGAAGTAAGATGGGGTGGGAGTGTTTAACTAAAGGGCACATCAAAAAGAAAGGAGCAAAGGTTTGAACTTCAGATTCTGCACAAAGGAATGATCTAAAAAGTAAGATATATCTGAGGATTACCAACCATATTATAAACTATGGCAGGGTGCAGATTTATGCAGATTACTCCAGATTTATGGTTACATACATAGAACACACATTCAATTTTATTGATCAAAGTACAGCTCACAGTTACCAGGTTAGAACTGCTCGTTGTGGGCACAAGTTTATTTCTTGTCATCTGACCATGTAATTTCATAATCTGTATACTCTTTCTTCAGTATCTCCACAGTCACTGAGTGATCTGCTTTTCCATAGCCCTGCAAGACAGAACAAATTGGACATGAAGTCTTCAGAACCATTCAGTTCTTATCCACACAAGTTGTTCAGATGCAAATCAAATACAAGTTCTAAAAAAGTTACTCTTGCAGTATCATATTTTGTTTTTCTATTATCCTCTCCCCCAAATTCAGGTTGTAGAAAATAAATGAGATGGGGTCAAATAGAGAATGCATTTTCCACACAATTTCTCCAGCAGAAAGCTTGTTTTGAAATGTTCCCAACCCATCAGCCACTGTATGGGATGTTCCTTTAAACCACAGAGATGGCATTGGCCCACTTTAATGTATGAGCATACAAACAGCTGATTTGGCTCAGCTGAGGGGAAAGGGAATAAGCAAACAAGTGTGAGCCCAATTCTGGCCACTAAAGAAATCACACTCTTCATGTTTTATTTATTTCCCATCTTGCCTTAGCTGATAATAGCACAATTTTAAGTATCTGTGCTCTTCAGCCATTGCAACTCCAAGGTAAGGTCAGATGACCCATGTTATTTTTAACTCTCATTTAAAAATCACTGGTCACAGTGTTACTCTCTCACTGAAATTTAAGGCTGTTGTGGTCAAAGTGGTCTTCCCATTATTGTCTTACATGAGCAGAGTTATCTTGATTTCTTATTTTGAACTACACATAACACTGCAGTATACTGATAGAAATCTGATTTACAGGTGATTTTTTTTCCCATAATATTTCACATGAAATAAATGAAAGTTTACTTAGAAGACTAAAAAAAAAAATGCCCAAGTTTATATTATCAAACAAAACATAGTCTTACTCATCAGTGACAGCCCCAAAGAGGAAAAGCTTAAATAAACAAGCATTTAAACTGAAAAGGTTAAAGTTGATGCATTATAAAATGCAAGCTTTTCAAACATAACAGGTAATATAGTTATGTCAGTTGGAAAGCAAGAGATCCACAGTTCACTCTTGCCTTGGCAACCACTTTGAAGACCCCATCCAGCCTTAAAATTAGCAGCACAGCTTCACAATAAATTCTCTGGTTTCCATAAAACACCAAGGTAGTTCTGTCAAAAGAAGCATTAAACCTACATAACTAATATTTTGACTCCTGACCTGGGACTGAGGTCATCTGAACCTCGTGGTCTCTACCTGACTGAAGCCCTCATGGCAATAAAATCCTGCTTTTACCTGATGCTCCCGTGTGAGCATCAAGGCACCAAAAGCTGAGAATAAAGGATATTTCTCAGACTTCAAGAGTTGACCACTGCCTCCAACACTTAATTTGACAGCTAGATTAATAACACAGGTGTCAAATCTGACCTAAAAATGCAATCATGAACACCAACCATCAGAAGAATTTAATGTAGTAAGTATTACACACTGATTTCCCACCCCACCCAAGTTCTAAGGAGTTTTTCTTCTTTATGATTCCAGAATCATCTTGGAACAAAAGCAGCACTAACAGAATTGGTAGCTCTGTTTCAAAACATTTAAAACATTCAAGGCCCAATCTCCACTGCTCATCAAAGGTAAGCAGATTTGAAGTAACCCTCAGTTTCTATAGAAAATTAAATTAACTTAATAGAACTATTTTCTTCTTGTCTCCTTTAGAAGCCTAAAAGCTTTACTCAGTTATTATTACAGAAGCAGCTATGCTTCATCACTGAGCAATATCAGAAAAAGACTACAGCACATTCCCTAAATTACAGAAATTCTGACCATTTACTGAGTCTTTCCCAAAGAACATTAATTTAAACAGAACACTAAGAGGTAACAAAACTGCTACTTTTATTCCCACAAAATGCATTATTGCATTTTTCACCTACTAAAAGTTTACCACACCTAAACTATATCTACTCTTCTCACCCAAACATACACAGAACAACATTCCCAATTTAGCTGGTGACTTCCAACCAACATTTTTATTGGCAGATGAAGATCATACAATAGCTGGATCCAACCCCTGTGACTACAAATGGACTATTCCTGATCCAGCAGCAAGACTAAAAGATTCTGAGTCAAGAGATGCCAACTTCCATTTTTAGTCTTAATTCTAAGTTAACACTGAGTAACACCAACTTTATCTTTTTGGCTGCCTGCCCTAAAACTACTGTTTTTCTAATCTATCTCACAAGTGAGCCAGGCAAGTTTTCCAGTTAATGTTTAAAATGTGATGTAAATTTTCAAAAGCCACCATGCAATTAACCAAAAATTCCAGAGCATCAGAGACACAAGCATTTAAAGGAAAATGAGAGATGCACTTACTGTTGAGAGCCCAAATACCCTGATTTTCTTGTCTTTGCTATTATGTTCAATTTTCCCTCCTCCAAGGCACTTGCACTCATATCCCAGCTTTTCCATCTCAGGGTTTACTTTTTCAAATATATGATCTGCACAAGAAGAATGGTGAGAGCCATCAGAAGATGAACTAGGCATTACACAGTCTAGAAATAATTTTTTAACTACTTTCTTATTTCACCTATAAGAGAGGAGGTTTTTCTTCAGAGGCATAGAAAAGCTGCATTTAAAGCCCTCTGGATTTTTTATTTAGCGTATATTGTTCTCCAAAATGAGGCTGATTCTGTCAGGAAAATTAATCCACAAACACCAGTTTTATATCCAGAAAGGAGATAAAGGAATCCTGCAACTTTATTCGAATGAAGGAAGAGGTCATGGGCATTTCCCATGGGGTCTCTCAAGATGTTAGAGGACACAGCCTCCTTTTTATCCATATTTCCCGGCTGCATTTCCCTTTTTCCCCTTGGCTGAGGTACTTGAGAGGTACAGACTGCACCAATTGCTTTTTCTAATGTGTACTCCCTGCCTTTTCTTTTCTTTTTCCTCGTGTCTCTTGTTATTTTTCTGTCAATCCAGGGATTTTGCAGAGTCTTCTAACAAGTTGTGTCAATTAGTGGAATTCCTATGGAAATTATGGTTCCCCCTCCATTGCTGCTTTCACCTCTCATTATCTGGCCTTACCCGCCAGCTTGTTTATAAAGACACCTCCTCATTCCTTTCAGCCGCGCTCAGAAATGGCACCTGACACATCTATTCAAATATACGAAACCCCAGCTTTCATCTCCCACAAGGGACGGCAGAAAGAGGGGGGAAAAGGGGAATTTTGAGCTCCTCAAGCCGGGGCTCTCCCGCTCCGCCTCAGCCCCGCTCCGGCCGCCGCCCGCTCGCCCCCGCTGCCCACGCACTGTGGAACTCGGCGGCCTTGGTGCCGCGGACGATGTCCCGCTGCCCGCCGCCATCCGGGCGCTGCAGCCGCACCAGGATGTACTTGAAGGTGCCCTCGGGGTCGATCTCCACGTCCCTCACGGCCGCCATGGGGGGGGGAAGCGGCGGGGGCGGGAAGGCGGCGGGGGCGGGGCGGGCGCCATGGCGGCCGTGAGGGGACGGGCGGGAGCGGCCCCGGCGAGGTGCCCGCCGCTAGCGAACATACGAGTTACGGCGTTAGGGGAAGCAAAGCAACATTTCTGCACATCGCTCTTGCCTTGGTAGCCACACATAGCCTTAAAAATGGCAGTGCAGCGTCTGCTTAAAAAGAAGTAAATGACTGTTTCTCTGGTTTCAATAGAACACTAAGGTGGTCCTGTCACAGCGAATCCCCAGGTCAATTAATTGGCATTAAACCAGTAGAACTCATATTTTAACTTCTGACCTGGCACTGAGGTCCCAAGCCAAAAGAAGCATTAAACCAATATAACTCATATTTTAACTTCTGACATGGGACTGAGGTTATCTTCTGTCTGACAGAAGCCCTCATGGCAATAAAACCCTGCTTTTACCTGATGCTGCTCCGTGAGCATCAAGGCACCAAAAGCTGAGAAATTAATTTGAGTAAATTAAATTAAAATGAGTATTTTGCTTGGACTACAGCTTAGAGGAGTTGACCATTGCCTCTAACACTAAAGTGCCCTTCAGAGAGCTCTTGTTCAATATCCCTCACTTTGCAATTCTGGGATTTTATCCACAAGCTGGGACTTTGTAGGGCCAAGGCCAAGCAAGGTTTTTATTTGAAAAAGAAGGTGGTCATAGGGAGCTCTAACAGCCAATATTCCGTAGTTATATTTTACTGGAACTGAATAAGAAATACAAATCTAATTTATGGTTGCCTTATTTTATAGGTGTACCCAGTAGTTCAGGCAAGCCCCACACAAATTGATGGTCACAGATATGTAGAATGGATAATTTCATAGAATCACTAAGTGATTTAGGTTGAAAGGGACTTTAAAAATCATTTACTCCTAACCCCTGCTATGGGCAGGGACACCTTCCACCATCCCACATTGCTCCAAGCCCCATCCAGCCTGGCCTTGAACACTTCCAGGGATGGGGCATCCACAGCTTCCCTGGGCAACCAGAGTCTCATCACCCTCACAGTGAAGAATTTCTTCCCCATATCCAATCTAAACCAATTTTCTTTCAGTTTAAAGCTATCCCCCCCTTGTTATCACTTGACTGAAGACCAAAGCTGTAGTATTAACCAAAGAAAAAATTATTATTTTCAAGCAGTACTGAAGTAAGAGCATAGTCTTGTATCAAGTGTTTACTCCAAAGTCAGGAAAATTTCATATTTTAAAAACTAGAAATTTTTTTAAAGCTTCAAAACATCTGACACTTCAACATAGCTACATTTTAAAGTTACATGGTAGATCATTTCTAACTGACCTATTTTATTCTTTTCATATGTACAAAAATTAATCTATTTTTGAAATAAATTTCTTCATCAATAATAATTTTAAAAGTCTAAAACTAGTACTTGAATACTTCCTCTGAATACAAAAACAAAATACTATATAAAGTAAGATATAATGAAAAACATCAGTAAAACAGAGGAAGAGTACATATCATTTAAATATAGTAGATTCTACAAAGGTAAGTGTAAATTGGTGGTTAGTTCGACTGTTATAAGAATTGTTACTTTACAAATAAAGCTGCTTCCTGAGCTACTTTATTGACTGTAACAAACATTTATTTTAAAAAATCAAGCATTTAACTATTTCAGAGACTATTTTTAGTTACCTTGTCTGCATAGAACAGCAGCAAACCTGGGGGGAAAAAAAAAGACCAGAGCCCTGAGGAGCTGCATCCTTACTAACTAAATTTTAAGGGGTAAAGAGGTGTGAAGGGCTTTAAGTAGAAACCAAGCCTCCTGCCTCAGCTGTTTGGGGTTTTCAAGGCAGGCAGAGAAAGTGATAAAATCACTTGTGATAGAAGTACCTAGTTAGGATAACGAGGTTTAGAGAGTCTTGTGGAGTTGGGGTGGTTGCTTAAGCTTGCTTTGTCTAGTAGGAAGGGCCTGTAGATTAGTGCTCTAAGTTTGTTTCCAGTAATCTAGGAAGGTCTGGTTTTGTGCATTTAGCTTATTCCTTGGTTTCTTTGTTTACCACTCTACCCTATTATCTCATGCTCTGAGTTATCCTGCATTAACAAAGTGTTATGGAAGTTATTTGTTTGCACAAACTCTATTTTTTCTTTTTCACTGGAATGGTTTCCTTCATTTCCTCAAGCACAGAATTCTGTTTCGTGACTGTGAAAACCTTTATTGCCCCGTTTCGGTTATGATGCACAGCAGGAACTAGCAACAAACAATAGAGGTAAGGATGGCAAAGGAAATACTTGTGGCATACCTTAGAGGCTAAACTTGAAAAGAATTTGCTCTCATTAAGGAGGATAGGCGTCAGGCTTCACCCAACACGAGTCTGAGCACTTTGTGACTTAATAATAGTCCCAGCAGAGCTTTGTCTTGTTTTTTTTTACTGCTTTTCCCTTCCCAAGCACCCATCTCATGCAAGAGTGATTTCCTAGGCCATGCCCAGGTATAGGAGCTTCCTTTTAGGCTGCAGACAAAATTTCCCCGCTGCTGGTGGGAATTGTTGGTGCGTCACTTTGTGAGCCTCAGGGGTACAGAGAGGATGGCACGGGGTGACAGGGGGCTCTAGCCAGACACAGCCTGTCTCCAACAAACCTGCACAGAGGGATTTTCCTTTTGTCATGGGCTTCCTCATGGCTAGCTGGGCCAGGGAGCTTGGCACTATTCTCTGAAATAATTAAGGGGTTTTTTATTTATTTGGTCAAGTGATATCTTGTCTCTTTGCAGCGGAGTCTTAAAAAACATCATTTTGGTCTTGTTTTGCACTGCGGTTTGCAGGATTTGGACTGAGCCCAAATGGCTAAAATTGCTCTATGTCCTTCCTATCATCAGATCCCGTGAGCCAGGAGCATCCTAATGCCAAAATGTCTTCATTTATTTAGCAATTTAAACTCTAATTGGCAACTGACTAGAAAAATAATATTATTATTTTGCAAAGCTGTAACAACATACTGTGCTGCATTGAAACTCAACATGAGATTCTCTCAGGCCATTGGATCGACCCAGGCTACTAGAGTCAGGAAAAGGGAAGCAATCACTCTGAACTCCAGGTGTATAAATTTCTCCTTTTATTGAGTTCTCTGACAGAGTGCACAAGATGTAAGGATACATTTAGCCCTTGCTTGTATTACAGGAAAATATTAAGGAAAGGCTTTTGAAGTAGGTGCTTTCCATTGCATGTAACCCTCACACAGCAGAGAAAGTAAAATGAAGGCTAATATTTAGCTGTACTTGCAAATTTATTTTTTATTCCAGAGCAGGAGTACCCCTGAGATCGATCAGAAAAATGCATAATATATTTGTGCAAAGGAAATGCACTGTTGTTAATTCTGCCATAGACATCAAAGATCACGGGTCTTCTTTGCTGCTTGGCCCATTCAATTTAATAGGATTTAATAAAGATTCTTCTTCTACAGCTGTTGATTAGCAGCTCCTCAGATTAGCAAAGAGGTCAGAACAAATGCAGGATAATGACATTATCTCTCTTGGGATTAACATCTTTGGCATTTGTGTGTTTATAGTTCAAGAGGCAGAGGCTTGGTTTGTGTGCTGAATTTTAGGAGTCCAGGACAACCTCCAGCATGCTGGAGTGTGAAGGGACTCCACTGGACCCCTCATATTTTGCTTTCATAAAATAATAATCCCTTTCAGAAACTGAACAAGATCTGGGGAAAACCAAGTTTTGTTCTGCTCCTCATAGAAGGCAGTTTTATAACAGTATTGCTCTGCTGGTTAAAAACCAAAACCCCATCTAATTTTTGGTCCACATTTACTCACAAAAGGTTTTTAAAATCCATTTGGGTTTTTTGTACCTGTTTATATACAACTGTTAAAACTTCTGAGCCTTCCTAGCTGCTTCCTCTTCCCTAGGCTTAAACACAAATTTCTAATAGGCTCCTGGAGAGATATTTCTTTAGAAGGGACCTCATGGCATGTATCTATTCCTTGAAAAGCCTGGACTTTCCTCCCAGGAACTGTCGTCCTTCTGTCTCTCCTTCTGAATGACCATGAATATCACCTGCCTGTCACAGGTAATGTTTGAAGTGGGAGAGCACAGGACATGCCCAGAATCCCCTCATTCAATGGAACAGCTCTCTAGGATTGTTTCCAGGGCTCTGCTGTCCTTTGGTTGTCCTTCCCTGCTCTTGGTGTCCGTGCCTTGCACCATATGTTGGGGGCATGATGGAAGCAGTGTGCAGGTGATGATTCTCGAGGCCCAGCTGTTCCTTTGTGGTCTGCAGAGACAAACAGTGTGAATGAGTTGTTTTAATTGATCAGAGTTCATTCAGGTGGGATATGTGACATCCTGAATATCAGGATGGGCCTTTCAGCTGCTTTTCTTCAGGATAAGCTCACACATTTGCATTCATGGAGTAGAGATACGAGGGGGTTTTGATTGGTAGATTTAGGGCTGGAGGCACTCAGCAGGGAAACCATGCCCTGCCTTTGTCATGGTGTTGGGACTGCAGCTCCTAAGAAAAAATCAAAATGAAGATGATGGATGGGGAGTGTAATGGTATGAAGTCTTACTAGCATAATTCTGGGTATAAATTGAAGTTACGTCCTTTGACTTAACCTTTGGATAAACCTTTGCCTGTCTTTGACTTTAGAGGGTATGGAGCAGCTGCACTCCTAATTTACTTATCTTCAGGTGGGCATAAATCTGGATCTTTCATTTTATTTTGAGACTAGGGTAGCTTCTCCACTGTATTTATGTACCCTTATTGTGGGGATTTAGATTAACTGGACTCTTGAAGTAAGAATGTTGTCTGTATTATTTTATAGCTGGTAAATGGCAATTCCTTCTCTTCCTGCTGATACAATACCTGTTATGAAAGTGTTATTATTTCTGTGGGCCAAAGAACCAGACTCTGCTACTGATTGCAGTCATGTGACTACAAATGATGAGTAAATGCCGACTGATAAATGAGAGGAAAAAACCACAACTAATATGCACCAGGAAGGATAAATACAGAATCACAGAATCAATCATTTGTTTGGAAAAGCCTTG